TAATAATAAACAATAATATAATAATAAACCATATCATATAAACAGTCTCCGTGGTGTAGTGGTAAGACACTCGCCTGGCGTTCCGCGAGCGCTATGTCATGGGTTCGTATCCTGGCCGGGGAGGATTTACTGGGCGCAATTCCTTAACTGTAGCCTCTGTTTAACGCAACAGTAAAATGTGTACTTAGATGAAAAAACGATTCTTCGCGGCAGGGGATCGTATTCCAGGGACCATAGGATTAAGGACTTGCCCGAAACGCTATGTGTACTAGTGGCTGTACATGAATGTAACAACTATTGTATATATCTCAAAAAAAAAAAAAAAAAAAAAAAAAAAAAAAAAAAAAAAAAAAAAACTTTCTTTATGTAGCCTTCTTTGTCGTTGTTCAGCAGGAGTGGAGCATTTGAGATGTTCTGCGATTTGTTTTCTTCACCTAAGAAGGAATGCTTTTCTCATTCCAGTTAACATTTTTTTTATTATGTTTTATTTATTTATATATACAAGAGTTGTTACATTCTTGTAAAGCCACTAGCATGCATAGTGTTTCGGGCAGGTCCTTAATCCTAATTTTTCCCCATAATACAACCTGCCAAATCATTTAACCACCAGGTACCCATTCACTGATGGTGAACAGCGACTACAGTTAAGGATTGGCACCCGGTCAATCCTCCCCGGCCAGGATACGAGCCAAGGCCAAAGCATTAGCGAAGTGCTGGGCAAGTGTTTGGGGGAGGGGGGGGGTGAATAGTCAGTAGTAAGTAACAGTCGATTGATTGACAGTTGAGAGGCGGGACGAAAGAGCAGAGCTCACCCCCCGCAAGCACAACTAGGTGAATACAACATAGCATCACACTTGACAATCTCCATCATACTCTAGCAAATCATTCATAGCAGCACTCCACTGCTTTATAATAGTGTACTTATAGTATACCATGCTCCTTGAGTTGTTATACAAAGATTAAGCAGTTACACAATCGAAGACTACCAAACATCTAACCTTGTTCTTTACCACATTTCTTGTATGGCTCCCACTTCATTCCCCTCTTCCTTGCACATTTTCACCATATCTGTCTTTCTTGGTTTCCACTCATTGTACCCCTTGCACGTCCTTAAAGCTCACTAGAGACCAGAGGCCAATAGCTAGTCCCCTCACAAAGGCTATGATTTATGATAATTCTTACTGAAGAATCAAAACCCTCCCCCTGAAAATAAGTGAAGCAAAACAGACAACTGCAAGGTTCACAGACAGTAAACAAACAATGCAGTAAATGACTTGGCAAATGATCCACCCAGAAGTTGAGTCATACAGCCCTAGTAGTAGCTGACCACCACCAAGTAGCAGCACCATGGAAACTGACAGCCTCCCACATCAACAACCCTCAGTCCTTCACCTAATATCAGATAAGTTTACCTACTCCATGAGTTGCCAGCTTTTCAGGTCCTGGATTTTTTGTAGACAGGTGTTGGCCATCTTTTAGTGTGTCATTACCCAAGTAATTACCTAAGTGAAGTTACAGGATGAGAGCTACGCTTGTGATGTCCCGTCTTCCCAGCACTCTTTGTTATATAACGCTTTGAAACTACCGAATTTTGGCCTTCCCCACCTTCTCACCTGACTTGCTCCAACCGTCTACCACACTGTTTGCGAAAATGAATTTTCTTATTTCTTCGGCATCTGTGTTTAGCCAGGTCAGTCATTAAACGTTTCACTGCCTCTTCTGTCCCAACCGTTATGTAGGGCCGGTGAACACCCTCCTTAATTAAATAATGGTTCGGATTCACCAAATTCCTTGGCTAATTGAATGGTCCACTCCAGATTTTGATAAAAAGTTAGTGGACATGTCGAGGGAAATAACAGCCGCTTTCTTCCATTAATCTGTGCCTCCCGCCATGTGTGGTTCTCTTACATTCTTCAGGTTGGGAGCAGACAGCACACTGGACTTGTGATCCTGTGGTTCCGGGTTCGATCCCGGGCACCGACGAGAAACAATGGGCAGAGTTTCTTTCACCCTATGCCCCTGTTACCTAGCAGTAAAACAGGTACTGTACCTGGGTGTTAGTCAGCTGTCACGGGCTGCTTCCTGGGGGTGGAGGCCTGGTCGAGGACCGGGCCGCAGGACACTAAAGCCCCGAAATCATCAAGATAATCTCAATATAGCTAGTTTAACCACTGCACTGCGCAAAGCGCCTTTAGGCGCTCAGAGAGTTGTGCTTTTTGTTTTTTAATTTGGCTATATTTTAATGTTTTTTAATGTTTTCATTACTATTTGTGTTTTGAAATGGAAATAGTTGACTTTGGAAACATTTTGACATTAAATTTACCTGAACATTTGTAAAAATAACAAAAATATGTCCTTGACAATTGCACCAAGACGTTTTTGCCGAAAATAGGTGAGCAGTGCAAGGGTTAAATATATGACCTCTTGTTCTTGAAGTTCCGGGTCTCGGAAATCTTCCCTATCAATTTTATCAATTTGTTACTATTTTGTAGTGATCATATCACTTCTCTTTCTTCTGTCTTCTAGTTTTGGCATATATAATGCCTCTAACCTCTTCTCGTAGCTTTTGCCCTTCAGTTCTGGGAGCCACTTAGTAGCATGTCTTTGCACCTTTTCCAGTTTGTTGATGTGCTGCTTAAGATATGGGCACCAAACAACCACTGTATATTCTAGATTTGGCCTAACAAAAGTCGTGAACAATTTCTTTAGTACAGTATTTCACCATCCATGTATTTAAAAGCAATTCTGAAGTTAGAAAGCGTAGCATAGGCTTCTCGCACAACGTTCTTTATGTGGTCTTCACGTGATAGTTTTCTATCTAGAACCACCCCTAGATCTCTTTCTTTATCAGAATTCTTTAAAGATTCTTCACATAATTTATAGGTTGTGTGGGGTCTATGTTCTCCTATTCCACATTCCATAACATGACATTTATTCACACTAAATTCCATTTGCCAAGTGGTGCTCCATATACTTATTTTGTCCAGGTCTTCTTGAAGGGCATGACAATCATCTAAGTTTCTTATTCTTCCTATTATCTTAGCATCATCAGCAAACATGTTCATATAATTCTGTATTCCATCTGATAGATCATTTATGTAGACAATGAACATCACCGGTACAAGAACTGAACCCTGTGGTACTCCACTTGTGACATTTCTCCAGTCCAATACAGTGCCTCTGATTACTGCCCTCAGTTTTCTATCAGTCAGAAAATTTTTCATCCATGTTAGAAGCTTACCTGTCACCCCTCCAATATTTTCCAGTTTCCAGAACAGCCTTTTATGTGGAACTCTGTTGAAAGCTTTTTTTAGGTCCAGATAGATGCAGTCAACCCAACCATCTCTTTCCTGTAAAATCTCTGTGGCTTGATCATAGAAATTGAGTAAATTTGATACACAGGATCTTCCTGATCGAAAACCGTACTATCTGTCTGATATTATATCATTTCTCTTGAGGTGTTCTACCCATTTAGTTTTTATTATTTTTTCCAATATTTTGACTTGTCACTTATTTACACTTGTCAATGATACAGGTCTATAATTGAGGGGGGTCTTCCCTGCTGCCACTTTTGTAGATTGGAACTATGTTAGCCTTTTTCCCCACACATCTGCTACGACTCCTGTATACAGGGATGTCTGAAAAATCAGCTGAAGTGGAATGCTGAGCTCAGGTGCACATTCTCTCAGAACCCATTGTGAAACTCCATCTGGGCCAACTGCTTTGTTCTTACTTAGCTTCAGGAGCATTTGTTTCACTTCGTCTCTAGACACCTCCATGTGTTCTATGCTGTTCTCTGGAATTCTTATTGTGTCTGTGCAAAAAGTGAAAAAGCAAAAGCGTGCTCACTCACAGTTAACGCTTGGCTGGCTTTCACCTTTGCTGGGGGTGGGGGGGAAGGTGTGCTGGGATTTTGGACTTTATATGCATATACCCCTGTAGGGCATTCGATTGTGAACAAATTGATACCAAAATGAATGACATAGCATGAGAATTGAGGTGAGAATCCTGAAAAGAGAACACACATTTTGGTGGGGTTGCACACTCACGGGTAACTCATGGCCAATTTGTGAGTTTGGTGCGGGTGGCACGCTGGGCTTTTGGACTTCATATGTATACATCCCTGTAAGGAATTGTATTGCGAACAAAAAGATACCAAAATGAACGCCATAACACAAAAATTGAGGTGAGAAGAGTATATTTTGAGTCTGGTTGTGAGCACCGAGGAAATGCTTGGCACACCTAGCGGTAGGCTAGGACGCGCGCTCCAGGGACGGAAAAATGTTAAGAAGTACATCAACAAACTGGAAAAGATGCAACAATGTGCAACTAAATGACTCCAGGAACTGAAAGACAAGAGCTACAAGTAGATGTTAGAGGCATTAAATATGCCAAAACTAGCAGATAGAAAAAGAAAAAAAAAAAGGCGATATGATTACTACAGTACATACAAAATAGTAATGGGAATCGACAAAATTGATAGGGAAGAATTCCTGATACCTGGAACTTAACGAACTAGAGGTCATTGATTTAAACCAAGTAAAGTTGCCGAAAAAATAGAAGAAAATTTACTTTAGCAAACAGATTGGTAGATGGTTGGAACAAGTTAGGCAAGAAGGTGATAGAGGCCAAAACCATCAGTAGTTTCAAAGCGTTATATGACAGTGCTGGGAAGACGGGACACCACAAGCAGAGTTCTTATCCTATAATTACACTTGGGTAATTACAGTATAATTAACAACCACGAGTACATCACAGAGCACCAGCAAACACTTACATCAAAATAAAACCAGTCATTTATTATGACAGAAATACACACATGCTCCACTTCATACATGAACTCTTCAGAACATGACATATGAATTCAACAAATTCCATATACAGCGCATGCTTCTCACTCTTCACATTAACCCTTTCTATTTGCTTTCAATATTTATTATAGTAAACATTATAAATGATAAAATACTATATTATAGTTAATGTTTTTCTTTCTTTCTTAGGAACTGATCCAAACATGATGAACCATGATGGACTTACAGCTCTACATCAGTGTGCTATTGACGGCTCACTGGAAATGGTGTCACTTTTATTAAAACATGGAGCAAATGTAAACATAACAGATAATGATCTTTGGACACCTTTACATGCAGCTGCCACCTGTGGACACTTCAAAATTGTCACTACTCTCATCAAAGCTGGAGCTAACTTAACAGCAGTGAATGGCGATGGGGATATGCCACATGATATTACTGAAAACGAAATATCTCTGCAATATATTGAAAATGAAATGATTAAAAGAGGTATAACACAAGATACCATTGAGGAGATTCACCAGAAGCCTCACGCTGCCATGCTCGAAGATATTACCAATATAGTAGCTGCCGGAGGAGACCTTAATCAACCATTAGACCGAGGAGAAACTTTTCTTCATGTAGCCATTGCAAATGGTTTTAATGATATAGTAGAATTACTAATAAACAATGGAGCATCTCTAACAGCATGTGATGAAGATGGCTGGGAACCCATACATGCTGCAGCTTACTGGTGTAATGAAGCAGCATTAGACATGCTCATGGAAGACAAAAGAGTAAACTTAAGAACTTGCACTACAAGTGGAGTAACACCTTACGAGCTCTGTGATGATCCTGAATTGAAAATGAAGATTCTTCACAAAATAAGTTTAACACCAGACATGTTTAAGCCCTCTGGTGAAGTCAATCATGATAATTTTACTCCAGTATATGAGGAGGTTGAAAGAATTATAGAGCAAGTAGATGAAGAGCATATTCATTTAGATTTTGAGAACCCTGAAATTAACGCCTTTTATAATGATCCCAATCCCCAAAAGAAAGAATACCTTTTTATTCAAATAAATGAGGATTTTGATCACTTACGACACCCAAGCATTGATGACACTCCTCCATCCCCTCTGACCAATTTACAATCAATAGAACACTCCTCAGATCGTAGGAATTCAATCAAAGAAGCTAAAATTAAAGCACCATTAAAAAGAGCAAGTAGTGACAGACTTACTAACAAGGAGAAGCAAAAAATACAAAGTGATATTGAAAGTAAAGAAATTGGCAACACAAGTTCTTTCAACAACATCAAGGAGAATATACCACCAAATCTACCTCCACTTAACCTTGACAATGCAGCTGAAGACATGATGCAACACCCTAACTCAGTACCAAATAAAATTAATAACTATAGCAATAATAATGTTGAGTATAAAGGAATTATCACTTCAAACACTGTAGTTACACCTCAAGCAAGCAGTGCAACAGAAAGTTCACAACTAGAACAAGTTCACTTAAAGTCAAAGAAGAAAATGCATGCTCCTCCAATACCAAAAGTTTCATTGCTGGAGCTAAAGAGACAACGTCAAGAAACTCGAGAACTGCAAGTAAGAACGCTGCGAGAGAACAACCAAGTTACAGAGAAACAACCTATGTTCTATGCCCCACCTTCAGTATTCCAACCCCCTCCCAGTCCCACAGTGATTCGTTACAAATACAAAATGGTTCTTATTGATGATGATAATGATGATACTGAAACAGGTTTCATCAAGAAGACAAAATGCACTATCATGTGAAACAAAAATACTGTGCACCAAAGAAGAAATATTCATTATATTATAATTGAAGTCAAGATTTGTGTGTACTGTATATACATCTCCAAATTCATATTAAAGTCACTTAGAAATGTGTTACCATATTTGCTAGGATTTTTATCTCGCCTACAACGAGGAATATTTGCTCAAACTAATACACCGAATACAATATATTACATTTCATTTAAATGATCATAATCGGTTCTAACTTTTTTTTTTAAGTTGTAATTATTTTTAATTCTATCTTCACACAGTAAATTACTCGTCAATTGTTAATGCATAATTATTTTATTTATTCATCCTCGATATAAGATACTATATTAGTTATTTATAACAGTGCATAATAATATTAGTGCTTGATACTCATTAATCTTATTACCATTTACAAATTATTATACAAATAAAAAAATTCAACATTAGAATATTTGTACATATTCTGTACGCATCCTACACAATACAGTATTTATATTATTGTATGTCTGTGAATAGTGATTGTTGATATACAGTAGTATTAAAACTAAATATTTGGTGAAGAAAAAGCTGCAGCAAAGTATGACGAACTGCAGTATGCTGTATACAGTATATATCTGACCGGCCTGTAAATAATGTTATAAACCGACAACTGATATACTTTTTCATTGTAATAAGTAAAAAGTATAGTCTAGTTTAGCTTCCATGAAAATAACTTAAAACATTACTGTACTACTTTTCAAATTACAGTACAGTACTGCTATACTGTATATATTTTACATATGCATGATTATGTGGGAAAATAAAATACTAAATATTTAGCTAATCTTTCATTTGCAAAATTCTAGATGCAGTATAGCAAATTGGATTCATTTTAATGCCAATGCATTGCAAGTTACAGTATACATACAGTTCCCCTACTACAAACAGTCTTGTTCTGAAATTGTGTTAGTACTGTATAGCATTTGTTCGGAACATTGAACGAGAATTCTCATAGGTGCAATGCTATCAATGGGAGAATGAATTCCAGAACCACCAAAAATTTTCACAACACCAATATTTTTGGGACATATTATTAAAAATTATTTACCTTGAATGATGGAGTTAACATGTTTGTCAAAGTTAGCTGTTTTTGAAGGGTGAAGATAGCTAATTACATGAATTTATAAATGAAAAAACAAGTATGTACTGTATTGGGAGTCTGCTATTTGTGGTTTATTGCACAAGTAAACACCTCACACCCTCTATCTAGCCCAACCACTTGAGCTGGACTGTAGAGCGACGGTCTCGCTACATGCAGGTCAGCGTTCAATCCCCAACCATCCAAGTGGTTGGGCACCATTTCTTTCCCCCATCCCATCCCAAATACTTATCCTGATCCCTTCCAAGTGATATACAGTTATAATGGCTTGGGGCTTTCCCCTGATAATTCTCTTCCTCTCCATCCATCACCAACCATGGACCCCACCCTACCAACAGAGTAAACACACTAGTTTTGACCAAAGCATGAATGTTTGGGTCACCGAGGACTCGAGAGCTGCCACTCTTAACATTGTCATTTTTCTGGAAACACCACTCCCTTAACCCTTAAAGTGCGCATCACGTCATATGACGTGTTAGACGTTGTACCAGTCAACTGCGCTTCACGTCATATGACGTACATGGGTACCGCACACAATTTGAATGTCCCGCGGTGTAGCTGGGATTCCCATACGCTGCCCAGGGGCTATAGTAAACAGCGGCCATTTTGAAAAAAATTCACGCTCACGAACCAAAGGCGTGGGAGGCATCAGTTTAGCGAGTCACCATGGCGAGCGCACGGTCAAACGCCTCTCGGGCATGCACCACTCAATCCCTCACCCCCAGAGCAAATAGCCCACGAATTATTCTCTGAAGGTGAAGAAAGTGTGTTTGATGATTCAGACAACGATGAGGATTATACAGTGTTGTCGGCTGATAGTAGCAGCAGCAGTGAAAGTGACAGTGACCGCCATGCCATGGCGAGGCCTCTACGCTCACCCATGCCTCCTCGGCCAGTTTCTACCCCAATTCTACCACGACCTCACAGTTCCTGTGGATATTTACTGTTTGAGGGTGACGAGTCAGAGGGAGGTGACTCCTTTTCTGGGTTTAGTGACTCAGATCATAGTTTTATTGAGCCTGTGGCTGGTACCAGTGGTGTAACTGGGCGAGAAATTGTCACGTCAGCAGCATCTCGCCCAGCCAAGCGCCACCGCATGGCACCACATGAGGGACCAAGACCCTCACGTTCACGTGCATCCACCTCACGTGCACCCACCTCACCTGCACCCACCTCACCTGCACGTAGCCGCCGTGCTTCTCGCAGACGGTATTCAGCTCCTGGTCGCTGGTATGCATCGCTTCCTCGCTGTCTTTCCTCTGCATCTCACAGGACGCCTGGTGTACTTGTGTGGAGTGATGGTGACGATTTTATTCTTAATATTCCTCACTTTGATGATAAAGATGTAGGGATTACCAACCTTTTCCCTAATCAAGGTGAGGACATGGCTGAGATGGAATATTTTACAGCATTCTATGATGAACCACTCATGGAATATATTGTACACCAAACGAACCTGCATGCTGCTTACCTGATTGACAGGCAAATCACAGAATTTTCACGACTGCAGCATTGGAAAAATACCACAGTTGCGGAAATGTGTGTGTTTTTGGCACTCTGTTTGTTGATGAAGCACTGTCACAAACATGCAATAAGTGACTATTGGAGCAAGGAGCATACAGTGCCAACACCTTTATTCGGGAAATATATGTCACGAGACAGGTTTCAGATACTCCTCAGGTGTCTACATTTTGGAAGTGTTCAGGACCGAACAGATGATGATAAGACTGTGGCGAGTGAGGAACTACATGAACGATGTTATTGGAAAATTCAGAGATTTTTATGTACCAGCACAGAAGCTGGTGGTTGATGAATCTCTCGTACTTTTCAAGGGACGTGTTCCATTCAAGCAGTACATTCCCTCAAAACGAAACCGATTTGGCCTGAAATTTTTTGTTCTTTGTGATTGTGAGACAGGATACGTGTTACACATGATTCTGTACTCGGCTAGTGATGTAGACATTCCCGGTAACAACGAACATGGATTCTCGGGGAGTGTAGTGAAGTCCATCATGGCTCCGTGGATGAACAAGGGACACATTTTATACACGGATAATTACTATACAAGTCCCTTGCTAGCTCGGTTCTTGCTAGACAATAGAACCGGATTGGTTGGTACAGTAAAGCCACAACGAAGGGAAATGCCTGTGTTTGACAACGACATTGCAGTTGGTGAGTGTCAGAGAAGGAAAAGTGATAACATTCTGTCAGTTCGGTGGAAAGACAAAAGAAAGGTGAACTTGTTGACAACAATTCATGATGGAACAATGGTGAACAGTGGGAAAGTGAACCATAAAACAAACGCACCACTATATAAGCCAGACTGTGTTTTAGACTATAATATCAACATGCGGTTGATTGATAAATCAGACATGATGATTGGCACTGCAGAGTGTGTGAGGAAAACATGTAGGTGGACGAAAAAAGGGTTCTTCCATCTTGTGGACATGAGCATGCTGAACTGTTTCAACATGTACCTTGTGAGAACTGGACGTAAGCCCACTTTCCGTGCCTTTGTATTTGATGCTGCAATACAGTTATTAGAAAAGTTTGCAAAAGATGTCGCAGGGATTCAGCAGCCATCATAAACCCACTGTTGCAGCATGCTGGTACTCCACGCCTCGCTCACACTGAAGGCTTCCTAGCACACAGACTCAAGTATTTGCCACCAGCTGGGAAGCGTGCAATAGCCCGTGATTGCTTGGTGTGTAAAACAACGACACGTAGAGATCAGAAGCGGAAGCTTGTGCAAACATGGTGTGAAACATGTCGTATCCCATTATGTGCTGTCGACTGCTTCAATGACTACCACAGTCTAGAAAACTTCTAAGTGTGCTTCAAAGTGTGTATAGCGTGTGCGTGTGTGTAAATACCTAAACATATAAGCAGATAGCGTGTGCGTGTGTGTAAATATCTAAAAATATAAGCAGAACATACAATATAATAGACTGTAAAGACATTATATTGCCGTAATTGAAAACATTTGTGCGCGCCTGTGTATACTCAAATATGCAACAATTATTGATATAAAATATGTTCAAACATTATATGGAACACAATTAGTGAAAAAAAAATTCGATAAAATGCGCCTAGACATTGTAAATAAATAGCGCGAAAATATATTTGTGGCAACTCTGGCTGGTTGAGGACCGCGCGCAACGCCTCAGGGACGTGTACTGTACTGTACTGCATGAGCGAACATGCAGATTGTGACGTCATCGCTGATCTTCTCGGCTCTATTGCAACAAAAGTAAGTACAATAGAATTTTATTTTTTTTCTGTGATCAGTGAACACAACTTAACAGATTAGCAAAAAAAAAAATTTTTTTTTTTTTTTCAAAATGACATGCGCCTGCGGGGAACAAAGGATATTATACCCCGAGCATGTTAAGGGTTAATGACTTTTGATACTCTCACCCACCAGTCCTCACCCCTGACACCCTGCCAAACTCCAACCCCTCTTAACCACTTCCTGGACACCCTCTTGCATGTGAAATTACAAGAGGCAGAGATTGACTGCCTGACAGACTCCATGCCTTACTGAGATTGTCTGACTGAGAATACCTGCCTGCTTGCCTATGCCTGTTATTCAACACCAATGGTAGGGAATAGGTGAAGGAATACACACAAGAAACAAAGCCAGTGGTTAGGGATGGCAAGCATCTAGGGAAAACAACTAGTCTGCTGCCGATACTAAATGTGCCAATAGTTGCATATGAAATTACCTGGTTCTATTAGAACTTTGGGAGTAAGAGGACTTGCTCTCTATGAGAGCAATCACAATACTGCTGACTGACCCACCACACATGATGAAACTATAACATTGCTACAACTATCTAACAAGTTGTAACAAGATGCAACACCTTCTAACAAGATGTAACAACTTTGTAACAAATTATAAAATGATAAAAATAGGTAGTGTTGTGTTTGCAGGAGAGGCAGTCCAAAAGTAAATATACAGTACAGTATTCACAACTTTTTGTACCACAACACTATTTGAATTTCCACACACTAATTTTAAAAAATATACCAGTACGTACTGTAATTTAAAATAAAGTTCAGCTTACCGTGTTGTAGTTCGTCATTGATGCTGCATATTTTCAAATCAATACTTAAAAATTTACTTAACCTAACAACACTAAAATTGCTGCATAATACATGAGCTTGGTACTGTCAGTTTCGACTGCCAGTTGCTGAAGCTTCACTGGTTGAAGGCTCTTGGCTCTCTGGCGAGGCTTCGCTGGTTGAAGGCTCTTGGCTCTCTGGCGAGGCTTCGCTGGTTGAAGGCTCTTGGCTCTCTGGCGAGGCTTCGCTGGTCGAAGGCTCTTGGCTCTCTGGCGAGGCTTCGCTGGTCGAAGGCTCTTGGCTCTCTGGCGAGGCTTCGCTGGTCGAAGGCTCTTGGCTCTCTGGTGAGGCTTCGCTGGTCGAAGGCTCTTGGCTCTCTGGCGAGGCTTCGCTGGTCGAAGGCTCTTGGCTTGCTGTTTTTACCGAAGAACAATTACGTTTTTCTTGCCTCCTGTGTTCATTGGCCTCTATTATGATCAGGTCTTTGGTTTGACTTAAGTTCTGATACATGTTTCCAACTTTTGGATTAGTGCACTTGGATGAAAAATTAATTACATATAACAGAAGACACGAGTAAACTTTATTTGGTTGTCTGTGTGGTGTAAACAAAACCATTTTAAACCTTAACACCTCCAGGATGAGTGCTGCTGCTACCAGAGAGTCTAAGAAACATTATCAAAATTACTATGAAAACAAAAGTTAGTTAACAAAATGTTTCACTAATGGCACGGTACTGTGGTAAACACAAGGGTCGATAACACAAGATCCACTTGGGGCAGGC